CTTGCTGGCGCTGCAGGGTTTCAGTCCATTGCGGCGTAGTGTGTTACCAATGGTTTGCTTGGTGACTGTGGTCCCAACTGCCTTAAGATCATTAACAAGCTCCTCCCGTGTAGTTCGGGGCTGATCCCTCACCTTTCTCATGATCATCCTTACCCCATGAGGCGAGATCTTGCACGGAGCTCCAGACCAAGGCTGATTGATGGTTGTTTTGTATTTCTTCCATTTCCGAATAATCGCACCAACAGTTGTCTTTCTCACCAAGCTTCTTGCTGATGGTCTTGTAGCACATTCAAGCCTTGTACAGATCTACAATCTTGTCTCTAACATCCTTTGACAGCTCTTTGGTCTTGCCCATGGTGGTGTGAGAGGTTGGAATGGAAGATACAGATTGTCTTATACACCTAACGAGCTGACATTAGGAGTAACTTCTTAAAGTGACAGGACTAATCTGTGTTCCACATGGGCACATAACCAATCTGTGGGAGCCAGAATTCTTGCTGGTTGGTAGGGGATCAAATACTTATTTCACTCACTGAAATGCAAGTCAATTTCTAACCTTTATATAATGTGTTTTTTCTGGATTTTTTGGTTGATATTCTGTTTGTGTCAATACCCACCCCTATTTCTTGTTTAGCTACTTGACATCATGTAATGTAATATTCTGGGTTATTTTTAAAATACAGTTTATGAACTACTTCTGTGATGATATTAATTACCACAGACTATAATTTTGACTCGTGCCTTAGTTTGTATAAACTAACAGGAACCATATTTACAGTAAATACATGTAGCGTCTGGACCAATCAGACACACCATTTTTCATTTGATTTAACATTAATGGAAGCCTAGCAGGCTGGAAGGCTTAAAAGCATGTCATTTTGTCTCCATTTGCTTCTGTATTATCTGTGTTTCCTCTCTACATTATCTGGCTTGTGTCATGTCCTCTTCCTCTGCTTTCCATCTCATTTTTATGCTATTGGACAAGAATGAGTCTTTAATTGAATTCCGTCTCACTCTGTTTATCTTCATCATGTCTGGTTTAAAGGCTCTGGGATAGTTTGATGTAACCCGATAGTTAGGGAGGGGAAAGGAAGCTGGTGAGAGAGAGAATGAGAGAGAGAGAGGATAATATGAAGTGCCTTGTGTTTCTGTGTGCTGCGTTTCGTAACTCAGACACCACAAAGAGCACCGTCACATTGCTAAAAGCATGAAACATATAACATGTTTTCTGATACAATCATGATTTGATCCAAGTAGGACTCGTTTTAATGATTCATTGGTAAATCTCTCTCTGTTTTTTTCTCTCTCTTTTCATCCCCTTCCCTTCATCCCTTGTTAGAAACCACACAGAGGGCAAACCGCACAAGTGTCCTCACTGCTCCAAATCGTTTGCCAACTCCAGCTACCTGTCCCAGCACATCCGCATCCACAGCGGCGCCAAACCCTACACCTGCTCCTACTGCCAGAAAACCTTCAGGCAGCTCAGTCACTTACAGCAGCATAACAGGTAACAGACAGGGCCAGATAGAATCAGTAACGAAGCATATACAGCAGCAGTCCCGCTCTTCTCCTTGCATCCTTTTCCCTCTTTGCTTCATCTTCCTTCTTTCGTCATCTGTCATGCTGTATTTGGGAGGATTGTGTAGGCTTCCTGGAAACATATTTTAGACCCTGCAGAATGTATTCTCTGGTGATTTTGATATTTAGATCAAGCATTCTAATGAAAAGCTTCTGTTTTGTTTTGAAGGATTCATACTGGTGATCGGCCATACAAGTGTTCCCATCCCGGCTGTGAGAAAGCTTTTACCCAACTATCCAACCTCCAGGTAACCATCTTCAGCTGATTTCACACATTTCAGCTTTCTACAGAAGTGATTGAAACTCTGTGGTTCAAGAAAATTGCATCTTGAGTTTGTTTTTAGTAAAATACTGTAACAAAATGAATTTTCATGACCTTTGGTTTCATTGCAGATTGAACACTGTACTAAAATACACTTTAAAAAAAAAATTACTATTCAAGATGGCCATATGCAAATGCAAGTCCAGTCCACTTCAGTCTGGAAATTAATGACTCTTTGGTTAATTTTAGTGAATCAAAAAAACGTATGAATCGGTCGAAGCAGTCACTGAATTTATTGAACTGATTTACTGAACTGTACATTAAATATCATGTGGCTTGTGAGACTTAAATTAGTGTAGTAACTGGATGTTCATATGATAGTGTCTAAATAAATTGTTGATTAGTATTTTCTTTAAATGAATTAATAAAAACTGTACCAATTATTATATTTAGTATTTTTATTTCACATATATACACTATTCAAAAGTTTGGGGTCGGTAAGATTTGTTAATGTTTTTGAAAGAAGTCTCTTGTGCTCACCAAGGCTGCATTTATTTGATCAAAAAAATTTAAAACTGTGTTCTATTTTAATGTATTGTATGTAATTTATTCCTGTGATCAAAGCTGAATTTTCAGCATCATTAATCCAGGCTTCAGTGTCACATGATCCTTCAGAAATCATTCTAATATGCTCATGCTGATTTGCTGAAAACAGTTGTGCTGTTTAATATTTTTGTGGAAACTGATATATTTTTCAAGATTCTTAGATTAATAGAAAGTTCCAAAAAACATAATTTATTTAAAATAGAAATCTTTTGTAACATTTTAAGTGTATTTGCTGTCACTTTTGGTCAATTTAATGCATCCTTGTTGAATAAAAACATTATTTTCTTTCAAAGAAAAAAAAAAAAACGTTGAAAAACTGAACGATACAAAAAAAAGCTGAAAAGAAAAAAGACACCAAACTTTTGAACGGTTGTGAACAAATATTAGACTGCATTGATGCCATTAAAAAGTCTGTAAACATACATTTTGCAAAAATGTAAAATCTTAAGGCACTAATTGCATTTACAGTCCTTGTGATTCCCATCCAAAACTGACACTTTGTTGTAATTGCATAAATCATAGTCAAATAAACTTTTGTAAGTGTTATTTATTAATTCGGACCAGTATACATATTTTAGAAATATGTAGCTGTAACTGTCTCCATAAACCTGCTTGTCAATTTCATGTTAACATTACCATCAGGGCCGCCCTCATGACATTTATTTGTTTTTGTTTTTTAGTCTCATCGAAGACAGCACAACAAGGACAAGCCATTCAAATGTCACAATTGTAACCGCGGCTACACAGATGCGACCAGCTTGGAGGTTCACTTGTCGACACATACGGTGAAACACGCCAAACTCTTCTCCTGTGGCCTCTGCAACCGCGCCTACACATCTGTAAGATCCCACCCACGATACCTCAATCCTGGATCCTCTGTCTTGTCATTGTTCGGTTTTATTCACCTAAAATGATAGATATGGGTTTATTTGGGATGTCAGTAGTTTTAGATATTACTTTGTTAGGGTTACTTGATAATTACGATACTTAATCACAATTATTTTGTGAATAAAATATAATCATGATTCTTAATCATGATTTTTTTTTTTGTAATTTCATCAGAATTATTGCAGGCAATTTTGCTTAAAGGGGTCATATGATGCTGCTAAAAAGAACATTATTTTGTGTATTTGGTGTAATGAAATGTGTTTATGCGGTTTAAGGTTTAAAAAACACATTATTTTCCACATACTGTACATTATTGTTTCTCCTCTATGCCCCGCCTTTCTGAAACGCGTCGATTTTTACAAAGCTCATCGGTCTGACAAGCGAGGTGTGCTCTGATTGGCCAGCTATCCAGTGCGTTGTGATTGGCCGAATACCTCAAGTGTGTGACGGAAATGTTACGCCCCTCATCATACTGTGATTCCGTGTCCCGGCACGACGAGACAAAACCAATAAAACCCATTATAAAAGTTACGCCTTTTTTCTTTGCATGAACATTTGGGCGGCGTTATGCAAATCTTCCCACACAGTGACGTAGACGTGGGGGTGTGTTTGAACGAGGCATTTTAGGAGGCGTGGACCAGTCTTAACTTTTTATAAAGAATATCCCTATGGGTTTGAGACTTTAGTCTTTGCAACTGTAAGGTCCACACACTTGGCCCAAGGAAGGTATCCAGTGGTGGATGAAGGTCACTTGCGTGTTCGGTCTTTTCAGCGCGCAGAGTTATTCAATTTAGGTTTAACTCAATCTGACTCCATTTTATTATCTCATCTGACTCCATTTTAGTATGACCTCGAATTTTGGTTGAAAGGCAAATTGGTTGTTTGTCGGTCTCTAATTATTCTGACATTTGATAATTCTAGTTAACTCTTTACTCTGTATTTTCTCGTTCATTAAGAATCTCTGTTATTTAGGATGCCTCACGGCGGCCGCTATGCGTGGGCTCCACGATCACAAAACTCGCCAGTCTGAACCTTATTCAGAGGTTTGTGGCTAATACTATTTAATATACCTTAAATAGTAGGTCTGTTTAGCCCCCTACAGTTACCCATGTAATACTCAAACATTAATCAGCGGTTCTTCTAGAACCCCTTGTCTAGACCCCAATAGCTAATATAACTTCGTACAACTTAATTAACT